TTCTTCTTCTTCTTCTTCTTCTTCTTCTTCTTCTTCTTCTTCTTCTTCTTCTTCTTCTTCTTCTTCTTCTTCTTCCTCTTCCTCTTCCTCTTCTTCCCTACACACAAAGAATGCCAAGCCCCACATCTTTGGGCTGCTGTATTTCTCAAAAGTGAGCCTAATTTCCACCTTCCACCTGAATACAGTATTCCAGTAGGAGCAAGTGCTGCCTCCTGTTCATGATGACACTGGATCAGATTCTTCCAGAAGGATCAACACTAGTGCCCTTAAATCACCAATGTAAAGCCCGTTAGCAGTGCAAACCTGGACCAGTGTGCATACCTTGTATTGATATGAATACAGAAGGGCTTGTGTTTAGCATGAATTTCTGTGTTTAGTTGGCATGGCATAGTTTCATCCAGGAAAGAAGTTTTGCCAGTGCCAGTTGTACATTATTAACTAGACACTTAGGTTTGTGAGGCTTTCCTTCCCAGAGTCGGTCTTTATAGCCTGAGCTACTGTATCTATAGTAATGCTCCCAAACCTTCTTTTCTATGAGTTTTAGTCAGATTAAAGTGTGCCACTATAACAAACCAACCTAGAGATAGATAGATAGATAGATAGATAGATAGATAGATAGATAGATAGACAGACAGACAGACAGACAGACAGACAGACAGACAGACAGACAGACAGATTTCTCATTCATGGTAAGTTGACTTCATTGTTGCCTTTGGGCCTAGGAGAGGGCAGTGGTCTCTGGGAATCTCTCATGCCAGGATGATGAATTCTCTCTGTCTCCAGGTGTGGCTTTGCGGGGGCAGCATGGAGGTCCTCCCTTGTTCACGTGTGGCCCACATTGAGCGGAAGAAAAAGCCATACAATAGCAACATCGGCTTCTATACCAAGAGGAATGCTCTCCGGGTTGCTGAGGTCTGGATGGATGACTACAAATCTCACGTGTACATTGCGTGGAACCTGCCGCTTGAGGTAGGACTTGGCACCCAAGAACTGCAGACTTTACTGTCTGGCTGGCTGCAGATCCATTTATTTTTAAATTCACTTCATTTTAAAACTTGTATTTATTTAGTTTCGTGGTGCTGGGGACCCCAAGGCCTTTGCTCTGCACTGCAACCACAGTCCTTTATAATTTTTATTTTACTTATTTATTTATTTTTATTTTTATTTATTTATTTTTTAATGTATTTAGTACAGGATCTGGCTATGCAGCTTGAATGTTCAGCCTCCCCAGTGCTGGAATTACAGGCATGTACCACCATGCCCAGTCTTGGTGGCCAGCTCAGTGTGCCCGGGGTTGGGGTTGGCATGGCATGTGGTGCCAGGGATGGAACCCCAGTCCCTGCTCTTGCCTAGGCGGACTCTTAGTCCACTGAGATATCTTGCCAGCTCTCCTTTTTTATTTCTTATTTCTTATTTCTAATTTGAATCAGTCTTATTAGGTCACTAACTTGCCTTAGCTGGGCTCTGACTTGCCATGCTCCTGCCTCAGCCTCCCAGACTCCTAGAATGAAAGTCAGAGGCCATCAGGCCTGGCCACAGGCTGTTTTAATAAACTGATATTTCTTTGCTAGATGGATGCTCACTGTTCAGTTCTGAATGCATTTTGGGAGGTTCATGGATACAGCTTTAGATCCCTTACTCTACATTGGGTCAAGTAGAGCAAAGCCTCAAATCTGTTTACAAGGATTAGAAGGATTTCACTCTGGTATTTCTAGCTTTATTATATTAATGTGATATTGTATTGGGAAGATTCTAGCTAAGGCTTCTGACACCAGCCTTTCATGGGCTCTCCCTGCATAGCCTCTCACAGAGCTGCCTGCCCCACTGCAGGCTGGGTCTCCTGTCTCCCCACCTACCCTCCCTTCACATCCTGCTCAGAATAGGCCAGGGAACACCCCATGTGGCTGCAACCTTGAGGGGTCACACAGTCATTGTGCTTGGCTTGGAACCCATCTCTTTTGCTTATTATTAAGGAGATCTTGGCCAAGTCCACTCACAATCTCTGTGGCTTGGAGGTCTCAGCTATAAAATGGAGACAAGGTCCTCCTTCCTAGGGTGACCATGAGAATTGAATGAGCTGGTACATGTGACATGTTCAGAGCAGACCCTGGCACAGCTTGCATTGTCTGTCATCCTGCATAGTGCACTGGGGTGACCTGCCCTCTCAGCCCAGCTGGGCTGTCTCCTCAGCCAGAACACCTGCAGGTGTCTGAGCTTTGCTGCAAGAGATTTTCCTGGGATGGCTGCTCACCAGCAGACAGCAGCCCCTGTGTTTCAGGAGGCTAGATCCCAGAACAGTGGAGATGTGGCAGAAGGTGTGAAAGATTTATGAGTATAGAGGATAAAAATGGAGCACATGTACCACTGTTGTTACAGCTTTTGAAATACATCCTAAAGAACTTAAAGTTCTTTCATAGCACATAAAGCTGTTGAACTACAAGTGCTTTTACACCTTCCTATTATGTAAATATAGGTAACATTTGCTGAGCACTTACTGTGTCTCAAGCACGCAGTTCCTTGTTTAATTCTCATAACAACTTCATGATGGAGGAGTCTACCCCCTCATTTCCCTCCTCTAAAATTATGGATTCTTGATATTTACTTTACAGGGCTCCTTTGAAAATAAAATGAAGCTTAAGATAGAGCTTATCAAATATTAAATGCTCAATAAAAACTCCCTGGGCATGAGACTACTCTGATGTCTGTCTTATAGATGGGAAACTGAGGGTCTGAGAGCTTAAAGCCACTTGCTTCAGGTCCTTCACACAGCACATGGGCAGGAGTATGAAGTGTCCTCCTCATGAGCCCCTCCCAGACCCCTGTGGAGTCAGCAGAGTCATCTCATTATGATTCCTTTTCGGTAGAGGTTGAGTCAATGACCTGGAAAGGCAGTGTGGCTTATGTCATAGGAGCTGAACTTCTGACTCTAGCCCAGTGCTCTCTGCATCCCAGAGATCCCCCTTATCCTTGGGTGTGTGTGTGGTGTGTGTGTGTGTGTGTGTGTGTGTGTGTGTGTGTCCAAAGACAGTGTGAGAACCTCAAATCTGGAGATGGTACCAAACTCAGCACAAGTCAAACATCCTAGAGCTGCATCCAGATATTCAGTGAGTTTGGATTCACTTCTATGAAAGCAGAGTGAATTATCCATTAGGACATCACCGCGATGTCCACAGCAGGGAACTCAACCAAGGGTTCGTGCAAGTGTCCCTAAACCTGAAAAGCATCCTAAATCTGAAACACCGCTCATCCCCAGTATTTCAGATAAGGCTTACTCAATCTGTTTTCTGTTTCTTCTGGCAAATACCTATCTGTGATGATGCTTTGTTTACAAATTAGACACGGATGAGATGGATAATTATGAAATAAAATAGGGCTATTTTAACAATATCCTGTGATAGAAGTTATTTAAACTTAGACCTTGTTTATTTCTGGAATTTTCCATCCAATATTTTTGGGCTCTGGTCAGTTTTGAATAACTAAAACCCCAGAAAGCAAAACCCCAGGAAAAAGGAGACATCAGAGTGAGTGGTACCAAGCGTGCTTCCCCCAAGTTCCCATTTTCAAAAATATTCAGGCAAAGAGTTAAAAAATCACAGTTCAGGTTTCCTTCTGAATTTTATTCAGCTTGGCATGTGCAGGAATTTCTTTTCTTTTCAAAAACTCACAATTTGGCTGCTGAGGAAAGCTTAATGGAATAATTTGAACTCTCAACCTCACCCCCTGGACGTCGCCCGGCAGCCCCTACATCCAAGGGAGAATCCGCTCCCTTTGCGCGCTGCCATCTTGTGGCTGAGCCCACAGAGTCGTATTTCAGGTACTTTATTTCTCCCTGTCAGCACACAGCAGCCCATTACAGGTTCATTTCTGTAAAAGCAGAGTGAATTATTCATTAGAACATCATTACAAGCTTTGCAATGGAAAATTATTTTCCCTTTCGCATATAATGAACTTCACAGAGAGCCAACAAAGAGGGGGAAATGCGTGCGTGTAGAAACGAAGGGCAGGGAGAGGAGGTTGGAGGCACTGATTTTTTTTTGTCTTGGTCAAATCACTCCTCTAATCCTTAGCACTGCCCACTACCGAGGACATGTGGAAGGGAAGGAGCTAGAGATGGAGGCCTTCAACACAAGGGTCTTGGGAAATCTTTGCCCAGAATGACAGAGGCGGTGACTAATCTGAGGACACTATCCTGCAGGGTCTGGGCTGTGTGCAGGAAAAAGTGATTCCCATACCACAGGTCTAGGGGATTCAAGCCTGCCTCTTTGGGTGATCTTCTCAATAAGTCCCTAAGGTTAGGACCTCTAGAAGAGACCCTGCCTGTTTCTGCTCCACCTGGAGCCCCACATTCACGGATGTCTGTTGCTTCTCTGCTTCCAGAATCCAGGGATTGACATAGGGGATGTCTCTGAAAGAAGAGCACTAAGGAAAAGTCTGAAATGTAAGAATTTCCAGTGGTACCTGGACCACGTCTACCCGGAAATGAGAAGATACAATAATACCATCGCATATGGGGAGGTGAGACCATGCCTGCTATACCTGAAATTGCTGTGCAAATGATGTGGGCTGTGCAGTGGGGGAAATAGAGCCAATCAGCTTTTATATCCATCCACCCATCCACCAGTACACTCACCCATCCATCCATCCATCCTTCCATCCACCTATCACCCATCCACCAATGCACTCACTCATCCACCCACCCACCCACTCACTTATCTACCTAGCCATCCATCCATCTACCACCCACTCACCCATCCATCCATCTATTCTCCATACACCCATCCACCACCCATCCACCCACCCATCCACCCATCCATCTCTCTACCCACCCATCCATGTAACTACCCAGTGAAGAAGTCTCTCTGGATAGCAAGAGTGTGGTGAACAAAAGGCAATGGCAACCTTGATGAGTTTGTTGGAGGAATTTGGAAATTGAAAATTCCTCTAGGAACTACTGTAAGTGGAGACACTGAGCAGGAAGCTGAGCAAAAAGAGAAGCAGTAAGTAGCATCCTCTTCAGCCCCATGCCATGACCAACACCACTGAATATCAGAGAAAGCAGAAAAGAATCTTCTCAGATTTCCTAAGATGAGATCAATCTCACTTTTCATTATAAATGAATTAATTTTCCCTTATTACAAACACCATGACCATGCATTTTAGAAAATTTTGCAAATAATGATAATAATAGCAATGAACAATTATTGAATATTTTCAAGGGGCTGGCCAGGCACAGTTTCTGAGCACCTTTCACATACATATTCATTTCACCTTCACCTTATGAGATAGTAGTGTCATTTCCATTTTATTGATAAGAATGCAGCAACTTAAAGAAATTGTATGACTTATCTAAGGTCACAGAGCTTATAATTCATGAAGCCAGGATTGAATGCAGGCATTTTGACACCAGAGGTAATGTTTGTATTTTGATATATTGTATTCTTTACTGTGTATATTGGTGCACATTTTTACTAAAAATTTGAAATTTTATTCAATATATGTAGTATATGTTTCTGTGTCACGATGGCTTGTCCCATACACTGTCAATGGCAGCATAGGGTTCTGTTTTGCATACACTGTGCTTTGTTTGAGGATTTAGACATTTTTGTGAATTCCATTTTGACAAAACCCTACATACATCCTTGTATATAAATACTGCTGCATCTGCCTCATTGCTTCCTTTGGGTGACTGGAGGTGACATCGATAACACCCAGACAGGACAAGGAGCAGGGAACCCAGTGTTCTTGCCATAGCAGGAATGTAGGCTTGCTCCACACTCTGGCCAGCTCCACAACTTGTAGGCCTCCCTAGCGATGATCAGGATTAAGTGCAACAAGCTTCCTTTAATATCATACTTATGTTTTCCTCCAACTATGAATTTTCCTACTCTTTTCCTGATGCTCTTGACAGAAAGTGAAACACAGGTTAATCATCAGTGTGGGGATAGGAGGCCAACCTTCTTGAGCTGGATGCTTTCTTCTGGCGGGGACAGTGTCTAGAATAGGCAGGGAAGAAGTCTGAAGCCAGCCCACTGGATTGAAATCCTGTGGGCTGTTATCAGCTGTGTGGCCCCTCTGGGCTTCTGTTCCTTCCTCTGCAAAGTGGGAGAGATCAAGGCGCCTGCTGCCGAGGGTTACTGGGAGGAAAACTCACTACACTGTGCTGAGTTCTGAGGTCAGTTCCTGGCACGCAGCAGCAGTTATTGGGAAGTCTGAGCTGAGTTGTCTTTTCTTCTTCAAACTAAAGCATGTATTATTATTTTTTGGCTATCAAAGTAAGATCAGATGTAGAAGAGGCATCAAAAATGATAGGCTGTGAATGGATTATTCCTAAGACAATTGGGTAAATTGCCCAGCTCTTTGGGAAAGAAATCAATTTAGATTCTTACAGCTCATCATATATGAAACTATGTCTCAAATGGACTGCGGCATCAAATGAAAGAAAAAAATAGGGAAGTAGAGATGAATCTGATCTTCAGAGTGACAAAGACTTTCTAAGAATGGAAGTGGTGAAAGGAAACAGATAATAGATCTGAACTCATAAATAGTGAAATAATCTATACATCAACTGAATAGGGCAGTTATAGGTCAGACCAGAAATACATACAAAGCCTGTGGGGGGAATGAATAATATTCATGTAGAGTGAGCTTTGCAAAGTGATTTAAATTAAAATTTTTTAGTTTCAATAATAACATAAAATCCTCCCAAAGAAAAATGGATAAAATACAAGGAAGCCTAGTGACATAGAGAAATACAAATGGTTGGAAAACACCTGAAGGTTTTTGATTCATTTCATAATCAGAGGAGCTAAAATAAGTTTTTAAATATATTGAGGTAGCTGTTTTCCAACCTAACAAATGAATAAAGATTTAGTGTTTGGAATGAATGTTCCCACTTTGCTGTCAAGGTCTTGGTAAAATGAAAAATCACGTATCCTCCGGTGAGAATACAAATTGAAACAAGCTTTGTAAAAAGCAATTTGAACCACGTGTATTAAAAAGCTTAATGATAGTCATACTTTCTTCTCCGCTCTTATCCCACAAAAATAACCTGAAATAGGGACGTATGCGTGAGAGCAAAATTGTTCATCTGAGTGATTTTATTTTTTGGAGCAAAAATTTGTTCATTTAACTTGAAGATTAGTTTAAGATAATATATTCTCAGCTTTAACGACTTCACAGCCATTCCAAATGGTGTGTACAAAATTTTCCTAATATGAGAAAAATATTGATCCTATAATGCTGAGGAAGAAGAAGCCAGGATGATAAAACTAGATTAGCTGCTAGGTTAGATTGGGAGCAAGAGAGTAACATGGGAAAATAAAGATGGTAGTTAGAGATAGAGATGGTAGTTAGAGATGGTAGTTAGAGTAGTTGCCTTGGGGAAGGGAGCTATGGGGATTTTTTGGCAAGGGTAACATTTTCACTGTTTCGTTACGGTTTTGTAATTAGAAGAAAAGTCATTGTTAAAAATCACATTAAAAATAAGAACAAGCTGAACAGTAGCTGGGGCAGCTTCGCGGTCAGTGCACCGCACAACTCCGAAGGGGCCGTTCACCTCAGCCGCAGCCACAGCGATGCCCTTGGAGCACCAGTGGGCTGGAGAGGGCAGAGGCCATGGCCTGCTACCCATAAAGGGCGAGCTTTCCCTCCAGCAAAGTTTTCTATGTGTAAACAAGAAGTGCAAGCCACACATGCTAAGGAATACACAGAGATGAAAACAGAACCTTCCAAATCCCAATTCCTAGATGTAACCACAAGGAACATTTTACAACATTTGCTTCTGTTATTCCTTCTTTGCTTGCTAAGCTTAGCATTGTACTTAAATTATATTTTGGATGGACATCAGCATTAAGTGAAAGTAATTTTTATGATATTCATAAAATTCAGTTCTGTAATACAATTTACCTTTTTTTGTTTATTCCATACCCAGAACCCAGTATGGTGGAAAGGGAGGATGACCCTTCGAGGCATGCTTAATTCCCACCCCCATTTACATAGCTAATCAAGGCCTCAGCCTTTGCATTTCTGCCCCTCTCCATTGGCTCTGTCTTAGTCACTTTTCAGTTGCTATAATAAAATCCCAGAGACTATGATTTACAAAGAACGAAGGTTTGCTCTGGCACCTGGTTCTAAAGGTTGGAAAACCCCTGGTTCTGAGTCCCAGCCAGTGACATCCTGTTTGATCAGAACTTGACTGAGGAAATCAAATGTGTGGCTTCAGTTTCTTTGCCTCTTATTACAAAGTCCCCAGGGCCACCATGGGCCCCATCCCTGGTGTCATTGAGCCCTTATGGCTTCCTAAAGGCCCTACCTCCAAATACTACTCAGATGTGAGTTTGTGGGGGGAAGGTCAGGTTGCCCACCCTTGAAAGTTGGGGGACACACCCAAAATCTAGGAGCTGGAGTGACATATATTTTCTAAAGAAATAGGAACAAACTGGGCTCTATAGCACACCCCTGTAATCACAGCTCTTAGGGAGGCTGAGGCAGGAGAACTGCAAGTTTGAGGCCAGCCCGTTTCAAAATGCAAACTTTTCCAACGACAGAGAAGTAGCTCAATGTGAAGGCCCTCAGTTCAGTCACAAGCACTGGAAGGAATAAAAATGAAAGGTAGTTGCTTTGCATCCTGACTCTGCCCTGGACCTTGGGCTACCTTTCCTCTCACAGAAACCCTTCCTGTGAGGAAAGACTCAGGGCCATCAGCTCCTCTAGGAGAAGCCTGTGGTCATCTCCTCTTGCCCTTGGGACCTGAGCTGCTGGGCTCCATGCCACCTCCTCGCCTTTCATCCTTTACCCTGATTTACATGAAATACATGCACTGCATATAAAACAACATACATGAATTCCTTGTGGGCAACACTTGGTGGAAAAGATAGGCCAGCATCAGTTATTACTTGCATGGCGTTTTTGTTTTGTTTTGTTTTACTCCTGTTACTGGGGATGGAACCCAGAGCCATTGTACTGAACCACAACCCCAGACTGTTCGTTTGTTTGTTTGTTTGGAGACAGGGTCTCACTGTTCTGCTAATTTGCCCAGGCTGGGCTTGAACTTGAGATCCTCTTGCCTTAGACTCCTCAAGACTGTAATTAACAGGCATGCACCTCCACACCCGGCTCTACTGGTCGGCTCAGGGGTCCTGTCTTAGCAGTCACCGCAAGCCTCAGGCTCTGTGCCAGCCCTGTTCTGGGTACCGCATACCGCCCTCCCTATGCTGTCCCTGGAGACTGCCACCTACTTAGGCCATGGACTATTGTGTTCACCACTGTGATTGTTAAACTTAACACAGTGCCAGGCATGCACAAATGCTCACTAAATATTTCTTAAATCACTGAATGATAGATGTAATTGCATTATACATTAGAAATTAAATTTAAAAGTCCAGCAGTCTGCAATCATTATGTGGAACAAAATATACCATAAAACCACTGCCATCCTTAATATATAAAGAGCCTTTACAAATGTATAATGAAACCAGGGCCAGTGGGGAGACAGACAAATCCCAAAAAGGGAAGTGATTGCCAAACATAAAGCAGCCGATATGTTATTAACAGCAAATTTATAGAAACAACTATCTTTCTTCACCTCTTAAATATAATGTTTTCAAATATCAAGGCTCAGGATGGGTCAGTACAGACCAGACATGCCTTGTGGGTGGGACTAAGAATTTCTTCAGAGCTTCGAGGTGAACACCTCATTTGAGGAACATTAAGCTATTCATAGCTTTTGACCCTGAAACCAAAGCTCTGAGGTTCTATTTCTTTCCTTAAGGAAATCTGAAATGTAAAAAGTCTTTCACCATTTCATTGTTCAAAAATTGGATAAAAAAATAACTTGTAGGAAAGGACTATGAACAATCATTTTCTTCCGCATGTTCCAAGGGTGTCTCACAAAGATAATGTCGCTTTGATAACTTAAGAAAACAATTTTATTTATTTATTTATTTATTTATTTATTTATTTATTTATTGTATTTTAGGGAAGGGTCTGCAGGATGTTCAGGGTCTCACTCTTAGATCAGACTCAGAGTGACCCACCTGTGTCCAGCCTCCCAAGAGCTGGGATTACAGGCATGCGCCATCACGCCCAGTCTCAATTGCCATCTCAGTGTGCCCCAGGGGCAGAGCTGGCACAGGAGGCCCAGGGATAGAACCCCCAGCCCCTGCACCTGCTTATGGGTGCTTTAATTCACTGAACTATTTGGCCAGCCCAAGAAAACAATTTTTAAATCAATTAAAAATCTACTCCGTTGTCTGAGCCTGGATATAGCTTGGGGGCACAGAGTGGAGTGTCCCTTTTCCTTTCATCTCGATTTATTCCTGGTTAAATTGGTAACCATGAGAGATGAGCGCTGGAGGGGCTGAGGTGGAAGAGATGCCACTGGTACCTTCTCTCTGGGCACCATGACGGCCGGGTCATAGGCCAGATGGTTTTGCTACAGAATTACAGTGGACCTGGAAGTCCAGGCTGGGCTGCTGCACAGCCCCAAAGCTACAGCCCAGGCTTTAGTGCTGTTGTCATGGTGATTTTGTTTCCCCCATAGATACATTCTAGACCTGTGTGGTGGTGCCTGGCACAACATAGGAACTCAATAATTTAAAAAAAATGCTTTGTGGTACTGGGGGTTGAACCCAGGACCTTCACAGTGGGCCAGGGTGGGCTCCAACCTGCAGTCCTCCCGCCCCCGCCTCCTGGGGTCCAGAGATTATAGCTGTGTGCCACCATGCCCAACTCTGTAAATATTTTTTGATGTATCAGAAAGTGTTTCTGGGGCTTGTTTTCTTTTGAGGGATCATTTTTGTGCTTCCCTGTAAGTAATGCCCTGCATACTTTGATTCCCATGCAGGGTTACTAAACCAGAGTTGGTGCCAAAGGCCACTAACAGTGTTTTCACCCATCTGTCCCCACCCTGATTCCTTCTGAAATACCTTTCAACCTGAGGTGTAGGTGATTAGTGTACCAGTATCTGTGAGATCCCTGAGATCTTCTATACTCAGTAATAGACAGCAGGTAAAAGTGATCAGATCACCGGCTTTGCTCTGGTCCTTTCTTGGGGGCTGTGTGACTGTCCTATCATGAAGCAGGAAGTGGGGTATGTTGGGACAGTGGACTGGGAGGTGGTGTGTCTACCAGATTGGCTCTGATGGATGGCGCTTGATCTGTTCCTGCAGCTTCGCAACAACAAGGCAAAAGATGTCTGCCTGGACCAAGGGCCGCTGGAGAACCACACAGCCATCCTATACCCGTGCCACGGCTGGGGACCGCAGGTAAGAGCACATCCCTGACCAGGAAGGGAGCAAAGCGCCAGCCTGCAGGGCCTTGTGAGACTTCTGGAAACTTCCATTGCCCTCTACTTTGCTGGTTCTTATCTGTTCCAGACTCTAAGAAGGTGGGAGCTTTCTGGTAGCTTCTCCTAAAACATCGGGGAAATGATTCAATAAGAGGTTGTATCTGCCAATATGAAGAAGATCAATGTGCATTTTGTGTTAAAAAGAAAATGTGAATACACAGCAGATCTGATTGCTAATATGCGAGGCTACACTGTTTGTTGTCTTTACAATCAAATGCACCTGCTTCCCGCTCAGAAGAAATAATAAGCAGATTTCCGCTGCAGAGCGGGTACCAGGTCCTCCCTGGAAGAGCGTCAGTTAGGTGGTTAGCGTGGCCCGGACTCCAAGTGCTGGTTTAAGAATAAAGTGCTTTCTGAAAAGCAGGGAAGGCGTTCAGGTGCATTTTAGAGAACAGGCAAGGTTGTGTGCAAAGGGAGACACAATCAGCAAGTGGAGCTCAAGCCCTGATGAGCGCATTTTCTTTGCCTCCTTAGTGCTAGCCAGCTAGCCGGCTGTGTGTGTGGGGGGGGGGGGAGAGAGAGATTAGCAGAAAGTCTGTAAGAGGAGGAGAAATCACACTCCAAAATAGCACTCAATTGGGCATTCATAAAAATTTAAAACAAGACGATGTCAACCGGCAATCAAAAAAAAAAAAAAGGGAAAATGTTCACATTGCATCCCCAGGAGCCCTGGGCAGTTGGTTCTAAGTCAGCCTCGCTTTTTTTTTTTTTCCTCTCAATCTCTGTCTGTAAAAGAAAGAAGCCCTGGGAGCTCTGTCCGTCTTACTCCTGGTCTATGAACACATGTGGAAATGCAGTCCTGCGATCACACACACACAGCCCCATGCACATAGGTACACACACACACACACACATGCACACGCACACACACGCATGCATACAGGCTCTTGGATGTCCTGAGTTCATAATATCCTGCCATCTCATTGAGTCCCTTCACTGTCACTGCACGTAACTGGGTTCTGATCTGCATCCTCCTTCCCAGGGCCAGTGAGCAGCACCAGGCAGGTCACTGGACAAATCCAAGACCATTGGGGCAGCCTGGGGAGGTAGGCAGGAAGGGTGAGGAAACTGAGGCAGGGAGCAGGGAGTACCTGTGAGCAAAGCAAGCTAAACACCAGGCTCTCCAGCCCAGCCAGCACATTCTAACTTGAAGTCAAATCCACATCACTGATGCTTATTTGTGGATCCCCAGCCCTTCTGCCCCCCGTCAGCCCCGAGTGCAGACGAGGAGGGCTGGAGCTATGGCTCTCCCTGAAGCTTGCCATTGGGAATTGGGGCTTAGCAAAAAAGACTAAATTGACCGAAGAATTTGGTGTGTGTCTTCATCCCTCCTTCAGTCAGGCAACAAGCACGTCTGTCTTGCTCGCCTACCGAAGATACTTTGCCCAGGTGTGCAAATGTAACTGATGAGATACAGCCTTGTGCCCAGGTGCTTTCCACTAGAAGGAATGAGATAAGGCAGAGGGCAGCAAATGTACAACTTGGTCAGTGTGGCCCTGATAGCTGGGCACAGGGAGGTGGAAGGCGACCTGGTTTGGCTGGCACTTACAGTACCAGAGGAAGTAGTACCCGAGAAGCAGAGCTGGAGAGGCAGGCACTGCAGGTTCTGAGCATGCTGCCCCACACAGCTGGGCTCTCCACCACAGTGACCAAGAGACTCATGGGAAACCCCACACCTGGGACACCCCAACAGCTTCTGCCACCTGAGACTGAATTTCCAACAAGCTCCTGAGTGACGCTGGGATGAGGAGTAGGCATTCAGAAGCCAGGGATATGGGTGTAGTGGTTAGACCGGACACAGCCATTCCTGAGGGAATGGTCTAAGGCATGGAGTCCTGGAAGAAGCTAGAGGAAAGGAGGATGGTGCACCTCACAGAGTTGCAGCCAGGATGGTGGGGAGAGGGCTGGAGGCCAGCATACTGGGGTGGGAGAACTGAAATGGGACATGGGCAGGAGGCAGGGCCAGCGCACTCTGCATGTTCCTGAAATGCCCACGGCCTCTATGCAGGCAGCAGGCGCTGGTGCTGAGCCTGGGGGTTCACACCTGGGGATCCCTGGGCGCACCCCACCATCACCCAGGCAATGACAGAACTAGTGCTTAGGAGAATACATGACTCCCTGGCCTCTTTTCCCATTTCTCACAGAAAAAAAAATGGGACAAGCTCTTATTAACAGTGGCCTGAGAAGCATGACCCCTCTGAGACACTGGCAGAACCCAGCGTGGCATGAGCAAAGGGTGGAGATAACGCCACAAATGTGCCCTGAAGACCTGAAGGCTTCCCCACATTGCTCTGAGCTGTTGCTGTTCACTTTGGGTGGTTCAGGGGAAGGTTTCCTAAGCCACGCAGGGAGCTTTCCCTGAATCTGGAGACCAGGACCTGAATTCAGCTGCAAGTCCATGCAGCGTGCCTCCCCTAGAGTCCCTGCTTACCAGAACACCCGCCGTCACTCTCTGAGGCCCACAGCTGCAAACCCTCCACGTGTCTGGAAAGATCCTCGTGAACTTGACCGAGCTTGCCCGCCTCTCCAGAGCTTTTATCTTTCATGTTTCCTTGACCCTGGAGTCCTTGCTCAAGGTGTCTGCTAAGCAAATCAGACAAGACACCCAGCGTGTGTGTAATGGTTCAGGGGTGGAACCCAGGACCTTCTCACTGAGCTATATCCTCAGTCCTGTCTCATTTTTCACTTTTTGAAATTTAAAGCCTGTGTCTCACTGAGTCACTAACTTACCTAACCTGGCCTCTAACTGGCCATCCTCCTGCCTTAGCCTTCTCTAGTACTGGGGCTTACTACCCTGCACCACCACCATGCCTGGGTCAGAGGTACAAATTTAATGAACATCTTCACCTTGAAGATGGCCAGTTACTTTATGGGTCCTCTGTCAGGCAGGAGTCAGACTTCAAGTTTCTTTGCCTGCTGGCATTCATAGCACAGTACCAGGGTCTTTCTTGGGAAGTAATTAGAATTCCTCTTTCCCCAATTCCATGTGCATCCAAATCCTGCCAGTCCATGGCTTCTGCAACAACAGGCCAGATTAGTCTGCTCCTGGCTGAACACCTCTACGTGGGCCCTGATTACTTCCCCTGAGCAGACTGTGTTAAGCAAATGTGCTGCTGTGTTCTGTCCTGTCACCTGTCCTGCATGACAGTTCTTCATCCTTGTTGCATGGTCTCTCAGCTGCCAGGCTGTGCCCCCACCCACCTAATAAGACCACCCCTCCAGCCCAAGCCCAGGTCCCTGGAAGAGCAGGCAGCCGACCCCCACTGTGCCCTCACCCTGGCATCTTGTGCTCCAGCTCCTGGAATGCTGTGGGCCAACAGATGCAATCCGAACCCCTCTAACCAGATAGCTTCCAGCAGAAGGGATTGGTGTTCCACGGACATTGTTAGCTTAATTAATGGAGTCTATGTTGTAATTTATTATCAAGCAGCAATTAAACAGAGATAAAATAGGCACTGAGGAGGGTAATTTCCTGTCTTGCAGCATGTGTTTGTCAACAAGATGGAAATGGTTCCCAGCTACTTGGAGAGCCAGCGTACTCTAAAGTGTCTGTCACCAGCTAGCTCATTATGGCCAGTTTCATTTTGTTACTAATTTGAATTAGACAAACAGCCACTTCTTTCTGGAACCTCAGTTTTAGTTAAAAATTGGGCATTGGGGACACAGCAGCAAGCATCCTTGGTGTCACTAGAACTCACTTAGGACTTCCCCATCCCAGTGCAAGTCTCTCACCCCCCTGGGGTCACCTTCAGGCTGGGTTCTCAAGATGGAGCAGCTGTAGAAAAGCCCAATAGTAGATTGATCAGCCATGGAGGAGTGGAGGCGACTTCCTCTGCCAGCCCCTTCTGCTGCCTCTGTCTGCCTCACCTCTTAGCCTTGCGCTCCCTCCCCCCACTGCCCCGCCGCACACACACACCTGCTGATTTCCTTGAAGGACAAAGATACTGTCAGAAAGAGGTCAGCAGCCAGGCCTCGAGGTGCAAACCTGTAATTCCAATGCCCTGGAAGGTTGAGGCAGGAGGATTGCAACTGGCTCTTTAGTAAGGCCTTCTCTCAATAAAAGTAGGGTTGGGGGATATGGCCCAGTGTGAAGATCCTAGGTTCAATCCCCAGCACAGGCTGAAAGAAAAGAAAAAGAAAAAGAGGATGGAAGGAGAAATAAAAAAGGAGGGAGGAACAAGAGAGAAGGGCAATGAAAGAAGAAAAGGAAAAGGAAAGAGATTGGGAACATCAGTAAATCCAGGCTTCCAGTTCCGGCCTCTGGGCTGCTGTCCGAGGTCCTGACAGCACCGGCTATGGCAATTTCGCCTCAAGTCCTGAATTCTGACCCCTGCTTATTGTTTTGTTTTGTTTTGTTTTGTTTTGTTTTGTTTTGGGTTTTTTTTGTTTTTGTTTTTTTCTACATAATTTTATTGAGAAACAAATAGCAATGAGACAGTTTCAAATCAAATCGGTAGGACAGTTTCAATAATTAACACATTGCATACTCTCTTCCTAGTGGTAATTTGCTGTACAAGATGCGGACATGATATCGTATTTACAAACACTATTAGAACAAATCCCTCTATTCATTAAGAGAATATAACTATATATCTATCCTAACCATTTTGAATACACAGATACAAAATGGACATTCATCTGTATCCTCTTTTTTGTTTAGTTCCGTCATTTGAATATTATAGGAGTGTGAACTCAGCAAAATATTCTAAAAGAGTCCAGTAGTCCATAATAGTATTGGGTCTTCCACTTGACTGGCAATGTCAGAAATTATTGACCTGAGTCCCCTACAGCTCAACATAACACCATGGTTTTACTTCTTATACTTCATTTTTATACTTTTCTGCTGGATGGTTAAGACTAAGATAAAGCAAGACCTATGCGACAAAAGTTGTAGCTTTTGGATCTGATAAGGTCAGT